TTTTACCCTAGATTCCCAGTAAATTCCCTGCAGATTCAGTCGTATCACAGTAGAGAAGTATATATTAACTTCTCAAACTGATTCTAGAATTAATATAGAAAAAGGTCAAGAATAACAAAACAATGTCAACCACCACCTCCACACTGCCCGTGGTACTGGGGATTGAACTCAGTATCTCACACATGCTGGGTAAGCAAAGCACTGAGCTATATCCTTAGCCTTGTTGTATTTTATCTTATTTGAGACAAAGTCTTAGTAAATTGCTCAGGCGGGCCTCCAACTTGCAATCCTCCTTCCTCAGCCTTCTGTGTAGCTGGGATAAGACAGTCTTGAAGAATAATAAAGCAGAAGGACTCAAAGAACTGTAAATCAGTATTATTTATAAAACTACAGTAATAAAGACAGGTATTGATCCAAGGATGAACAGATAATAATCTGTCTTAATAGAACAGATTATAGTTCAAAAAACCACACATAAGTATGTACACCTAACTCATGAAGCACTCACGTAGCACTACATGGCAATGGGGATAAGGATAGTTTTTTGTTGTTTTTCATTTTTTGTTGTTATTGTTTTTTACTAGAAATTGAATCTGGGGCACTTTACCTCTGAGCTATATCCCCAGTCCTTTTTTTTTTTTAATTTTTTTTTTTTTGGTTGTGGATGGGCACAATACCCTTATTCTATTTGTTTATTTTTATGTGATGCTAGGGATCAAACCCAGTGCTTCATGCATGCTAGGCAAGCACTTTACCACTGAGCCACAACCTCAGCCATCCCCAGTCCCTTTTATTTTTTATTTTGAGACAGGGCTTCACTAAATTACTGCTAAGGGTCTTACTAAGTTGCCAAGTCTGTAATCCTCCTGCCTCAGCCTTGCAAGTAGCTGGGATTACAGGCATAGTCTAGCTAAGGACAGACTTTTAAAGATGTCTCTGGGTCATCTTAATTTCTAAGCCAAAAAAAAAGTTAGTTTTAATTCCTACTTTATACTCTATTCACAAATTAACTTGAAATGGACAATATATTTAAATGTGAAAGGTAGCTGAGCACAGTGGTATGTGCCTGTAATCCCAGTGACTTGGGAGGCTAAGACAAAAGGATCACAAATGTTGGGGATGTTGCTCAGTGGTTAAGTGCCCTTGGCCTCAATTTCTGATACCAAATAAAAAATGAGGCTTCTAAAAGATAAAATAGGTATCTTCAAACCATTTAGTTTTTGGTAAAGAGATAGGCAGAGAGTTCTTTAAATAGGACTCAGAAGTACATGAACCATAAGATAAATTAAGTTGGTCTACACTAAAATTAAGAAATTCAAGATCACTGCAAAATTTATAATTCACCAAAATTCATTCAGAATAAAGATTTTAGGGAAAAAACACAACCCAATAGGAAGATGAGGAAAAGAAATCAGTAGACATTTCAGGATGAACTATATACACAAATAGCCTAAAACCATATGAAAAGTGTTCTTCCTATTTAGTTATCAAGGGAAGGTAAATTAAAACCACAATGAAATACCATTACATAGCCACAAGAAGTGCTAAAATGAATAACAAAACATCAGATATTAGAACCAATATAGAATGAATGAAACTCTAACTTATTGGTGGCAGTAAAAAATTGATAACTTTGGAAAACTGCCAGTGTGATGAAACTGTATATATACATACCCTGAAACCCAACTATTTGATTCTTAGGCATAACCCAAGAAAGCTGCATTCCCATGAATGCAGAATATACACACAAGTCTGGTGGAATGATTCATACCTGTAATCCAAGCAGACTCTGGAGGTTAAGGCAGGAGGATCACAAATTTGAGGTCAGCCTCAGCATCTTAGCCAGGCCCTGTCTCAAAATTATATATAAAGAGTTGGGGATGTAGCCCAATGATAAAGTGCTCCTAGGTTCAACCCCCAGTAACTTAAGGGGGAAAAAAGATACAAGAATATTTCCAGCAGCAATGTTCAAAGTAGCTCCCTGATAGATTACATACCATGAATGTCACAACATAGCATTGTCTCAAAGAATTTAGGCAGAAGAGTATATGATGTGTTTCCAATTATGTAAAATTTAAAATAGACAAAGCTAAACTGTATGTGAGTAGTCTGGTTCTGGTTTCTCCAGGGGAGGGGAGAGGGCACGATGTGATCGGGGGTCACCTGAGGGACTCATGGAGTGCTATTAATGTTCTTTTTCTTGATCCAGCTATGATTTCATGAGTGTGCACTCTGTGGAGCTTACAGTCTGTACACTTCTCTGTATAATGGTCATACCTCTCTTACGAGTTTACTTAAGAGCTCTGTGTCACCAATAACAATAATTTTTTAAAAATCATTTGGTCAGGAAACGGTATTTTTCCAGGTATCAAACAATATCTTGTCCTTCCTTGGCAAGCCAGCATTATGCCTTTCTCTGAAATTCAGCTGCTTGAATGTTTTTCTCTTGGTGTTACATTTTTCACAAGAAAACCAGTTAACAGCTCTCAGTTACTGGTTTAGATTCTGACCCTTTTTAAAAATGTTTTTACTTTTATATTTTGGTACTGGGGTTTGAACCCAGGGCCTCATGCATGCTAAGCACACACTCTACCACTGAGCTATAGCCCCAAACTCCATTCTGACTGTGTTTGAAGGGTTTGTTTTGGGGGTGGGGGGGTAAGGGGTGGTGGCACTTGACAAAGATTTGCTGTCCTCTGATCACTACCCTACCAGAAAAATGTCATTTCTACTTCTGATGGCTTTAATTCTTCCTGTGTAGCAGAAATCCTCCTTATCATTAGCATTTTTTTTTAATAATTCCCTCTTTGGTACTGTTGGATCATGCAAATCTATCTGAGGGCAGAGACTTAGTTGTCAAGAGGTCAAACGTCTGTATTTTACTTGGGGCCTTCCCCTTCAAGGGCTGCTTTGTACAGATAGCATACATCTTCGAATTCACCCTAGGTTTTTTTTTTTTTTTTTTACAAGCAGAAGATTTTAATCATAATAAAGTTGAACAAGAAAATAGTAGTCCTACAAATTCATTTGTTAGTATGAACCTACAACCTTCCTTTCCTCCCTGCCCATCACACCATTTGTAAAATAAGAACAAGGTTGAAGAACTTAAAATACCCAATGTCAAGACATAAGGTTCCATTAGTGTAGTTTTCATGTGGTGGTAAAGCACTTTACTTGCATGAATTCCATATTTTAAAAATCATTTAAAAAAATGACTGCATGGACTTAATTAACTAAATAATATAATTAAAAACGTTCAAATCTATTATCAGAGCCTCAAAATCACCACATAAATCACCAAGTCAGCCCATCTGATGAAGGGGCTCTGCTTACCCACACCCCCATAGTCAGCTGAGAACAATTGCTTAGAGAGGAAAGGTTAGGTAGGCAGGGTAGGGTATGAATTCTTCATAGGAAGAAGTATTCAAATGTGTAAGAGAAATCTTCAAGAGCCCCAGGCAGCTTTTATTTTAAAGAGCTACAGCAGTAAATTACTGGGGGATCCAAACATGGGAACATACATATTTAAAGTGTGCTTACAGGGCTGTGGATGTAGCTCAGTGGTAGAGCACTTGTATAACATCCTCAAGGTCCTGGATTCAATCCCAGCACCACAAAAAATGAACTTACATGAAGTACTCTTACATTGACGAATACATGCATTCTTTTTCTTTCTGTAATAATAAGAGGTCAATATGAAGGAGACATTTGAGAAAGTGAAGGATTTCAAAGATAATCCACATTCTTTCCCCCGAAGCCGGGTGAGAAATGGAAGCTGATGACCTGTACTAAGTCAGTTTTTTTTTTTTTTTATTGTTGGTCGTTCAAAACATTACACAGTTCTTAATACATCATCTTTCACAGTTTGATTCAAGTGGGTTATGAACTCCCAACTTTACCCGTATACAGATTGCTGTATCACATCAGTTACCCTTCTTCCATTGATTGACGTTGCTTTTCTAGTGTCTGATGTATTCTGCTGTCAGTCCTATTCTCTACTATCCCCCCTCCCCTCCCCTCCCCTCCCCTTTTCTCTCTCTACCCCTTCTACTGTAAATCATTTCTTCCATTTGTATTATCTTGTCTTACCCCTCCTTTCCTCTTATATATCATTCTCACTCCCTTTCCCTCCCAC